ACCATCTTCACTGACCACACCATCAGTGACGGAGGACTCATCTCTCCTGTTGTCCTGCAAGCAAACAATCATATTTTTTGGAACATGAACTTAATTGCTTTTGGGGCGATTGTGGCTCAAGAGTTGGGAGTTTGCCTTGTAATTGGAAGGTTGCCGGTTCGAGCCCCGGCTTGGACAGTCTTGGTTGTTGTGTCCTTGGGCAACACACTTCACCCGTTGCCTACTGGTGGTGGTCAGAGGGCCCGGTGGCGCCAGTGTCCAGCAGCCTCTCCTCTGTCAGTGCGCCCCAGGGTGGCTGAGCTTGCCATCACCAGTGTGTGGATGACTGGATGTGTAAAGTGCTTTGGGGTCCTTAGGGATTAGTAAAGCGCTATACAAATACAGGCCATTTACCATTTTACTTTTATTTAAAAAAGCCACATGCATTTTTTATTTTATTTTTGGAACCATTTTTAACTGTTGTCAGCTGCTGTCACTCAATTAGCATAACGAACAGCAGGCCAAAGAAGAAAAGATGCCGGAGCTTGTCGTGACACTGGCAGTTCACTCAGTACGATGTGCTGAAAACAAGTCGCCCTTCACATTTGCTTGTTTCATTCTCAGGATTGACAGCAGAGCAGAGAGGCTCCATGATTTACTGTGTATTTCAGACTGAATCCGAGCTGGATTCTGTTCAGTCTTGGCATTCATCCTCTAATCACACACACCATTAACCTCTGGGGGGAAAAGGAATGGAAACGCTGTGGTGGAATTTAACCAGATGTTGTAGCTGCTTGGATAGGCGGAGCAACCTGTTTTATTGCATTTCTGCAAATAGTTTTTTGGACGATAAACAAACACCAGTTTTTATGGTGGTGCTTTGTTTTTCTCTCCGCATCCCTGCTTACATTTGTTACTGGTTTTAAATGGAGATCAATGTGTGCTGAATGTCGCAGTTTGCTCACTGACGTCAGCACTCAGACCTCTAAAGTTTAGCTGAAGTCATTACCATGGTATTAAAAGATATATTTACTAGCATCATTATAGGTTTTGTTGAAAGCAGTCAGCTGTATTCATGTGTTATGGATTGGAGTGAACCAATGCAATTCCTTTTCTCTCTTTTTTTAACATAACTTATACAACTACAAAATCACAATTTTCAAGCTCATGTGCAACAGATTTATTGCATTTGCAGATTTATTATGTTGAAAAATGAAAAGTGGCGCTGCATAAGAATTTAAACATAATCTTGTGATGATTAGTTGTTTTTCAAAGTGGAAAAAAAGTATTTATAGACTTTTAACTTAAGTAAGATTTATATTCCTATTTAAGAAGCTTAATAGTACACAGGCTGCACCTAAGCAAATTAACTCATGTCAAACGGCACCATTTAGAATCATATACATGAAATTATTGGGTTATAGTTATTGATTTGTTTATGTGTATATCTCTTTAATGTTAAAAGCTGTTGATCATTTTAATTAGATTTCTATTACTCAGTAGCTTGAGCTGTAATAATGCAAATCAGTTTCAAAATAATAAGCAACTAAAGCTTCTAAATTAAATAGTATATGGGGTATGAAGTGCAATAATTGCACTCACAATATAGAGTGCATTGAAATACTCAAAGTACAAGTACATTAAAGCTGATTAAAGTAAATGAGCAAATGTACTCATTGTTACATTCCTACTGATCCTATCTGTGATCTCATCAAGTGGTAAAGAAGATTGTAAGATTAACAGTAGTTACATTATTTACCCCGCCTCTGCTTTTATCTACTAGTTTGTCTGGTGTGAGGTACAAATTCCCACATTCTTGGCAGTAGATGAACGCCTCATCAGACCACATAACCGACCCAGCTTTCTAACGTTAGCGAGGTGGCTAACAGGATTTAGCTGACTGGAGCTACGTTGCATCGCAGCACGGAGAAATTCCCACAGAAGACACGACGAGCTCGCAGTTTACTGACAGTAACTTTGTGTTACCCTACGCGTTGAGACACACAGCAGGAGCACAATGCCAGGTAACGACGACCCGCGAAGGGTTACACGTTAGAGCTTCGTTGTGTGTGCGTGTTTGCCGCTGCTGTTGTTCCCGGAGCTCAGCCTTGTTTTGTTGACCTGCTTCAGTGATGCTGCCATGCTGTAGCTGCGTGCTAGCTCATAGCGGAGCACACTTTGTTTGGCCTCTAGCATTCAAATAGAGACGGGGTTTGCCCCAGATGCGTGCTTTACGTGTTCTAGTAGCTTATTGTATCTTTTTGTTTAATACGTGGTTCGCATTTAAGCCGTTTTAAGAAACCCACTTAATGACTTTAAAAGAAAAAAAGAGCTTTTCTTCCACCCAGCCTCTACCCTTTGTTGTTGGTGGGGTAGCTTTCACCTTAGGCCCGTTCACTGACAGCGCAGCTGTGCGTTTCTGTCTGTTTGCAGCCGCTGGGAGCTAGCCACTTCGCATTACCTCGACTGAAACTACCAAATCCTTTAAACCAACTTCCCAGGTATGCCCGGACACCTGGTTTAGAGCCGTTAGCAGGCTGTAAGCCACCGCGGCACAGCTCCTGTTACACACACGGACTGTCAGGCTACACGGACCGCTATGAAGCGGGTTGTTTTTGCATATCAAAGTCTTCATTGTGCACAGTTGGAACTGGACATGGCTGTAGGAGCTCCCCCCGCATTTGTCTCCCCGCAGGTTGGATGTCTCTGCTTGACATTCAGAGTTTATTTTTACACTTGCAGGTACACAAACTATCCATTACAAACGGAGTCAAGAGGACTATTAAGCCGACATTTGAAAGGTTTCAGTGGTTATTTAGTTGCAGTTCCAGGGATCTGAAGGTGAACTTGAACGGCTGTTTCAGCTTGATTTTAAACCACTTTGAAAAATGTAAAAATTAGTAACTAAACTTATACTTTTGCAGTTTGTTTTTCCAGTTCGTTCCTTGCCTCAAGGGGGGAAAACTACTAAAAGTATTTTAAATATGTGGAACCAGTAGCTATTGCGTTAATAGAATTTCCCAAAGCCCTTCTTTCCTTAAAATATCCCAGTTTTACAGATCAGGACAAAAAAAAAAATCAAATTCAGTAATAATCTTCTCCTTTTTTTTCTTCTTTTTTTGATGACATTTTCCCCTCTGACACAGAACAAAATTTGCTTTGAAAATGTCAAATGGTCATTAATTTTGCATATTCCCACCCACTCAACACAAAGTACATACAGTTTTCAGACTTAAGTTCTCACTATCACAACAAACAAGCCAGCAAAATGGTTTTTGTTTTGTTGTTTTTAGCTCATAGGAAGAGTCAACCCCCCTCCCTTAAAAAACAAAACAAACAACAACAACTTAGAAATATGACATTGAGTTTATCATCCAGTCCAAAAACTTATATTGCAGCTGATGATGATTGCTGTTCCAAGATAAAGCTGCTTGGATTCAGAAGTCGAACTCTGTGCCCTCAAACTTTCTGTACATTTTTGTTTTTGACCCCTCCCGTGTGGCCGGATTGCAGAACAGCATTTTACATTTCTACAGCTTACCCCTCACCCTCGTAGGCACAGGGGAAGCACTGATCTAGGCTTGCCTAACTAAATATTACATGGTAACCACCACATGGTTATGCAATGTGAACATGTTAAGTGCTATGTGCATCACATGCTGGCGAGGTCTTTGCACTCTTGTTAGTTATACTTCAGTGGGGGTGGGATGATGTCAGTGACTTGGCAACTTTTGGAAATTAATCTTAGAGGTGTTCTTACAAATTGAACTTTTTGGAGGTTTAGATCATGCATTCAGTATACTTTTATAACCATTTGGCGTTTAATCTGAGAAGCTGGAAACATAACTTTCGTTTGATTGTGTGGGAAAAAATATCACCTGAGCTCTAACCTCATGGCTTTTACCTGCTTTTAGCTGTCTGCTTGCATGCTCACACCCCTTCAGCGTCTCAACTGTTATTTTAAAGCTTTGGCTGATGGTAAGTCCGATTCATTACACAACACTTTATCGACTGCAGTAAAAGTGAATGTTAGCGCACAGGCTTCAAATGTTCTGCAACCTCTGTCTTGTAAATTTTTCCCTTTGTGTTTTTTTTTGTTTTGTTTTTTCTTCACCTTGTTCAAGTCCCTGCTCTGCATCGTTAGACGTCTTTATCGTCGCCCACGGTTGGGCAGAAACAGACACACCTCTTCTTCTTAGTCTACTGACCTACTTAGATTATGCTTGTTTGTGTGTGCTCTTCTGAGGAACAGCGTGTCCGTTCTGTCGCTGCGTTCGTCGAACGGCCGGCTGCTGCGGGTCACACTCTGCTTAAACATGTTTGTTTTGTTGTGCTGAGGGAGACGGGGACTGCAGGCGCGGGTGTCGCAGAAATATTATGGGCTGAATTTTGAAATGGGTGAAGTTTCTTTCAAGTCACAACACATTGCAATGAGTGAGTGAGTCTTCATCAGGATGACCTCCGGAGCTGTGAGCAGAGCTCGGTTGAGATCATCATTTTTCTATCCCCCCTCCCCCCGCTGCAAGGCTGCAGTTGAGTCATGACAAGTCTGTTGCATCTGGCTGGCACTCTGAGGATTATGTCATGATTGGGCATGTCTCATCATAGTGGCAATCCTGTGTGCGTAGAAGCAATCGCACAAATCTCATCAACTCACTGTCTTTTCTTAATAGATTATTGGATACTTGTGATCTCGCCACTGGCTTCAAGCTTAAACAGTGCTTATGACTGCAGAATATTAGGCTTAATTAATGAATTTAATCATCTGTTTTAAGTATCCCATGTGAAAGAGGCTACACTCAGACACCCCTGTTGTTTTAGATGCCTGTTTTACAGCATAAAGGTGAAGCTGCACATCTGAACCACAGACTACATACATTTTCACTGTTTAAGCAGGATTGACGAGCTCTGTGCTTTGACTGCACAAGTGCCATGCACAGATACAGATCTCTGTAGTAGCCAAGTAACATGGAAATAAAATACTAGAGAGAGTCCATTATGGACTAGAGAAAAACTCCCAATTCAGTGACTAGATTTAGCAGCGCTGAGGCCTGAAAGAGTGTTTTGGGAAAACTGTCAAAGTGGTCACACCCATTAACCCCTATTTATTTTATTTATTTAAACGGTACAGTCTTTATGAAAGGACAGAGTATTAATAGAGTTGTTTTGGTGTCTGACTGTAAATATTGAGACATTGTGCTTTTAAAGCCATATTGTGCTTTTAGAGCCATCCTTAAGTGGCCACTAGAGGAACTGCTGTTTTCGGCACATCTTCATTGGCTTCATTTTTAAGCCCTGGGTGTTGCCAATTGGTGTGGACACAAATTTAGCATTGTACTCAGTAGTTGTAATGAGAATTGTTTTATTCTGATAAAATTCAGGCCAGGTGTGGATGCCGTGTCCAGTCTCGAGCTTTAGATGTTGAGCTGGAAATTGCGTGGTTATCCAGGGGCTGCCCCTTTTTGAAGGAGAAGTAGGTATTTGGATGGAGGGGGAAAACCTGATGTGATGTCACAGTTTTTACTTTCACTTCCACAGTGCAGGTGGAAGTAATCATCTGCTGAAGATGTAGCTGGATGCTAGTACGTGTTCAGGGAATAGTTTTATTGCAGAGTATTGGTAAATTATTCTAACCCATTGGGATGTGATGATCGCTAATAATAATAAAAAAAAGTATCTTTACTTATTGCCAAAGGTGTGTACTGAACACAGATGTTAGCTGTTGTCTTTCTAATGACTCTTAAAGCAGCAGCACGGCTGTGTATTTTTACTTTGCAAGATGCGGCCCTATTACATGTGATGACTCGCTGCGTTTGGCTTGATTGAATCATGCGTAGGCCTTTGCTGACTGCAGAAAAATAACCACACACACGTTTGCGCTTCTTCTCCGATCACGTCACTTGGGTTTGGCTTTGCCTTGTTTATATGGGACTTCCTTAGATACGCTGAGATAGCGGTTTATAAAGTCCTCTCTTCTGTGGATTTGATGGGACAATACTTGCACTGTTTATTTTTGTATTCATTATTTTGCATATTTGCTGTTTGTTAATGATAAAATTTAAGAAAAAAAGAAGTGTTAAGAGCAAAGTTGTGTACTGGTTCCATCCAGGTGGTGGGGGAAGGGGCTTATCTAATCATCCATCACTGTAACAGTGCGTTTATCTTTCTTTTTAGCACACAAATGCAAGTCTGTTTTAGTTTTCCACAATTGTTGTGAACTGTTGTCACTGTTGCTACTTTGGTGTTGACTGGGTGTAAGGCTGGGGGTTAAATGATAGTTTAGTCTCCTCACATTACTGCGAAGTTAAAAAACATGCATCAGCATCTCTGAGTAAGGATTACATGTTGGCACACAGCTGAGTACT